TCTCCATGGGGCTGTATGTAGAACTCAGTCTGAAATAAAGTACAGAGTGTGTACATACACCCACCTATTTTAATGGTGTTTTCTCCTCCACTTTATGTGCCCTCCATGTGAGAGTTGTGTCTTTGCCATCAAAACAACACACATGTCGACTGATTATCCGTAAATATGTGTAGCCTGTATTTTAGTTGTAGATAAACATGTCATTAACTTTATTACCCACGTGTTCAACGTATGGGTAGGTGCATACTATTCTCGTACGTCACACGAGTTTCGTATTGCGTTGACCCGTGTCGTAATGATTTGACCTGGCATTATATCGATTTGATTGGATAACCGATGACCACTCAGTTAGGTCATGTTGTGACGGAACTACTTTCTTATTCATAACAAACACGTGAATTCATTCATTCTACAATTTTTATTACGTCAATTACTCCGTCAATCACATGATCGTGAGTCCTGGAAAATAATACAAAAACACAAAAAAGTTAAATATTAAACTACAAGAACATGAGTATACCTTTCAATCACAAATTCTAATTAATTTACAGTTTTTGCAAATAAATAAAAGTTCGTCTGCTGTGTTAATGACTCCGTCAAAATCGATGGAACAGTCCGAGGGAGAGTCACTTCCACCGTTAAACCTCTCGGTACATTCATTGTTTTCAATGTCAAAACTTTGGATGGCGAAATAAGTCAAGTTCACAGACATAGACTTACTGTGGTTCCTGAAACTGTATCGATGGCCCCTCCCACTAACTATGATCAGCTTTCCCTTTTTGTGCACCTATTTCATTGAAGTGAATAAATCTAATGGCGAGGATTATAAGCCCATCTCACTTACATCAAAATTGTCGAGTTTTGACAAATATTTGAAAGCTAGGGGTTAGGAAAAATCGTTACTGAATGACAGGGAATTCTCCAAACTACGCAAGGTTCTACCAACTACAGATCCTGAAGAGTGAGAGGCTCGGCAACGTACCTAATAGGGCTGAAAGTCTGTCACCAGAGGAAATCCAAACACTCTACGATTCCTGAGAATTAGGTCCTAGTACTCCAGAGGCGATATTAAACACATTGTGGTGGAACAATACCAGGCATTTTGGCATCCGAAGTGTTAAACCACATCACTTGATGAGATGAGGAGACATTCAGGTGAAAACAGATTCTGATGGAGGGGAGTTCTTGGAGTATAATGAACGCCAAACTAAAACCCGCATCGGCAGTGACATCCGCAACGTCGGAGACGTCGCTCCCCGTGCATGGGCCACTAACGACGCTCGCTGTCCCGTATCCCTGTTCAAGTTGTACGCCAGTCTCCGTCCTAGAGATTACTGCTCTCCTGACACGCCTTTCTATTTGGCCAAAAATTCAAAGTTAGTTCCAAAAGATATTAACCATTCTTGGTTTAAACGCGGCCCCGTTGGCAAAAATAAACTTGGATCTATAATGATGAGAATGGCTAGTTCAGTTGGCATTAGCGGCAAATGTTTAACAAACCATTCAGCTAGAAAGACCATGATTCAATCTCTTCGCTCCGTTGGTGTTGCTGGGACTGAGATAATACAGATTTCGCGACACAAAAACATGCAGAGCGTAAACAATCACTCATACTTTCTTTACTCACACTAATTTCAACATATATAAACCTAACTGGCAGATATGTTTTAAGTGAATATCTGTGAATAATTTCATCTGAAAATGTCCAGTCAACAACAACTTCAGTGACGCAACAACGACATCAAACACAGGAGGGGTCACTTGCAGTCAATATCGTGTGTGTCCACCGTGCGCTGCAAGACATGCTCGCAGTCTTTGGGGCATTGAAAGACACACATTCCTCAGGAACAGCTGTTGGATGGTCTGCAGCCTCTGATGGTCTGTGGTCTGATCATGACACCGCCCCCTCCAAAACGATCATTTTCAAGGACACAGTTTGGCGCAAGTCTTTCTTTTTTACGTAGATAAATCTGCAAAGAATAAGTTAAACCTGGATTCATCTGAAAAAATGACATCTGGCCATGTCCTGTTGCCAAGATTGGCCCCATTTGCTGCCCATCGCTGTCTGGCAAGTCTGTGGTGATGCAATAAGGTTGGACCACCGTACGGGTGACGACATCGGATGTTGAAGGCAGCAAGGCGTCCTTGCACCTTTTGGGCGCTGAAATGACGTTGACTTGTCTAAATAGTCCTCCTTGCCTAATCATCAGCTGTTTGGAACCGATTTCGCAAGTGTGAAACTCGGATATTGCGGTTTTGTCGAGCTGTTATCACAGGTGGCGCACCAGGTCGCGGACGATCAGCAACACTTCCGGTAGCCCGAAAACGTTGTCTGAGTCGACTTACAGTGGATGGATGCACATTAAAGTGCCTGATAATCATCACATCTGAAGCACCTTGGCTGACCATACCGATAACCTGATTCCTTTCGTCTTGTGTCAAGTGTGGCATTTTCTCAAAGTGATTGAGTTCAACAATTCCTCGTGCTTTTACAGGGCCTGGGTGCAGGTAATGCATGTGCACATCGTGTTTCATGAATGTGGTTGTGTTTACGAGAAATGTCAAAGGTTCAGTTTTAAGTATCAAAGTTCATGAGAGAGGAATGCTCCGGGACTCAAACTCGAAATGGGCCAGAATAACAGCCTTTTATCCCTACATCCTCTGTATCGCAGGAACAAATCTTCAATAGAACTTTTGTAAGTTTCAGGACAACAAATACCAATGGCGTTTAAATGGCTTACAGTATAGATAACAGTCTCTTTCATTACAGACAAAATGCATCTCACACATGTAACTGGTAAAACGCCAATCAATATTCTTATAAAAACAGGAAAAAATGGGCGATATTTATACGATTGGGCACACCTCATATCTCAAAACATATTATCATCCTTCCGGATGAGCCATTAAAGTCATCTGGGGTCAAGAACGGACAGTGATATCACTATCTACTCGAAACTAACATGGAGCCACCTCGTCACGGTCATACTCTTATGCGCACATTGTATAGCTGTTTTGTGTTTTAAACACACAATCTTTGTCATTAGTCAGAGAGTACCTGGTATTCGACTACGTGAAGGAATTATCGGTATCATAAGGTGGACAGGGAGATATTTCACTTGAAAACAAGAATGGCAAGCTTGTGAAAGGAAGGCTAACGCAGTTGTCCCGAATCACGTGAGATAGGTTCATAATTATCAAGAGTTGATATCATACAATCAGTTACGAATAACACCAATTTCACCTTGCATATAACGGATGCAGTTTGTTTTTCTTATAACTCAACAAACAAAGGCCTGATCTAGCCAGCACAGAGTAGTAGAAATTCAAAGAAAACATTAAACATTACACACACTGAATGGAATGAGCATTTATCTGACGACCAAGGTTAGTTGATCTTGTTAAACCAGAACCTACAACCAGGTTGATTACACAACTGTTGCAAACAGCAACCATCATGTGAACATCATACTTACTCTTGTGATGAACATGATGTGAAAGGTTCCTCAACATTTATTAGTTCGTGGACGATCATCCGAGTCCTCGTGTCCAATCCGATGACCTTCCCGTCTCCTGCAACAACGCCATCATACCCACCTTGAGACAGGTCATATATCTACACTCTGAAGACATGGAGTGGCGACCAACTACCGTGAGAGTGAAAAACCACAAACTACATATCTAGTACACATTTAGGGTATAATAACTGGGTTTTGCTGGCATATTTACCTGTGTCTCGTTAATTCTGAAAGGCAATCATGATGTTACATATCGGAATATCAAACAGGGTTATCTTCAAATCACTGTGACCAGTGTATTCAAACCTTTGCCACAAAGCAGAAGCCTTTACTGGTCATAGTGAGAGAGACTTAGCACCCTGAAACAGTATTTCAGAAAAAATTTCAATCACTAAGTTTAAGTTTCACTTTATTCACTTAAGCGTATAATGAACCTAAGACTTCGGTGTCATTTTTATACCAAACTACCAAAAACCTTTTCTGTATGCATTCAAGGCGAAGCTAAAACTAAATCAGAAGCTATGCATGTATTATCATTTGATAATCTGAGAAATACGCCAACACTTTGTCAAGGATGAATCCGTGACATCTCAACTCATCTCACCACAGCCTTGTGTTTCATTCAGTATCGACGGGAAGGTCGTGGTTAAATAATCGATCCATATGACATTGCTCCGTTTATACCTCAAGCCCTGCATAATTCTAAATGTTTCTTTGGACGGTCATTGGCAGCTTGGTAGTATGCATCCAACGTCAAGCTATCTTCAGAAATACATTTGTATCAGCATTATAGATTCCATCAACACCCTACAGTATAATGTATTACAAAAGATGCCTCAACTATATCGGCAAACACTGTGTTATGTATCTGAACAGTAACAAAGCTCTGCAAGCAGAAGCTACTGAAAGTATCCTGGTTCATATCATGCTCTTCTACTAAATATCGATCAAAGATTATTTGTGATTTCCTATGCATTAACATCAGTGCATATATCTGTTTAAAATCAGTGGATAATACACATTACCTTGAGCGTAGTCGAAGCAAATGACATTTTCTATCAATGGACCATATCTATCCGATAAACCGTCTGCCGGGAGATGGGAATGTCTACGAACACCGACATATGTAACTAGTGTACCCTGCCTGGCGCTCAGCATAACGGGGATAACACATAAAACTGATCGGAGTCAGCTGACTGTGTCTGATTGGGGTATTCCTGTTAACTGCGATATGTCAATGAGCTAGAACGATAAGTCAGTCTCACGTTGGAACTTATACAAGCAGAAACTCATGAATTCAAGCACGTCTCTGTATTAGTGCAGTTTTCTTAGCTGATAAATTATAACTAGCCTCAGTCAGATGTCATCGGTGGGTCAAAACATGTAGGTTAATGCAGAACCACAAGAGATGAATGTATTTCAGTCTTGTAACGTATCATGTCTCACCTGCATATATAGACCATAGCATGCTTCTTTCAGCACTCACTACATCCCCCAGCTCCAGTTCTCTCCCCTGACAGTCAACAAGCCTCACACTGGTCGTCGTGTTTACAGGTGAACGTAACATGAGGTCACGTGGTGTATCTGCAGTCACACATGTACATATGAAGCAACGTCATTTAAAGATCAACAAAATCTATGACTGTAGACGGTCACCCTCTACACCTCCAGGAATCGCATTTCGGTAAGCCTTTACTGACCTCTGGATCCACTGCCCTGGTTATCACAATCTCAAATTACCCACTCTACAGTTCCATTTAACCGTTCTGATTGACTAAGCTGCTATGTCTAACATACCAACCAGAATGCGAGATCTAGACCAGCCTCAATGTTGGGGTGGCAATGTAAACAACATTGCGGCCAGAACTATGAATTAAGATGAGGTTTGCGAGAAATTCATTGACTGGCACGCAAAAGAAATCCCTAATAATATTTTGATGGAAAGGATGTCTTAGTGTCCATTAGCACTGACTATTGTGACTTTGGTGTCTCAAGGTAATACGAGTTACCTCCTTTACCCTTTCCTTTAAGTTATCCATTCGTCACCACTCGCCCCTTTCCCTAAACTCCACTATTCGGCTTGTCCAGGAATAACACGAGTTGGTCACGAATGTGAGTTATGTTGACGTGTGTTTGGTCGGTAAAATGTTATTGGAAATGGCGAGCGGGTAATTTGTGATCGCGAGAACCACGAGAGTGGGCCCAAGGGTTAGTGTAGGTATGCTGAAACGGGAGTCCTGGAGATACAGAGGATGCTACAGGAAATTCACAATTTTCAAAATGGAATATAAGAAAACAGTGTGAAAAGGAACATTCGGTGTTACTTTGATTTAATGACAGGTTGTTCAGTTTCACCGAAGTCATAAGAAATGATGACACTAAATAAAATTCATTCTGTTGGGGGACAGACCCATTTTCACATCGAGTTATCCTTGCGCAGAGTACATCATATTTGATACTTGCATGTTAAAACATTTACATAGGTCAATGCAATGCTTTGCCTGAGTGACCCCGGGTTAACGCTGTTTTTCAGTAACGTCATTGCGTAATGTTCTGAACATTACCTGCTGACACAACATGTTCCTCAGCTTGGTGACATTGTTTGCAGTTGTTGGTGATGTTCGTGATGTAAGTGATGGCGCAGCTTTTGTAAGTGATGCTGTTGTTGTTGCCGAGCTGCATTCCTCCGTGTTGATTGGTCGTCGGTCTGTCCTCCATGACGCAAGTTTCACGCTGATAAAGAGATTTTCAAAACTAGACTGAAACTATTTACTCACACATGAGACAGTCATCGCCTATATATACATTTACAACTTATTCACATTGGTAAACAACATCACAGTAAAGGAAAACATGGCTCCATAAGAAATTGACGTTTGTTTGTATGTAAGTATTTCAAGTTTTAATAATATCCTCCGTAACATCAGGGTCATGAGTCGGGTGAGGCAAGAATCAAACCTACATCATTTCCATCGTTGTTGTTGCCTCCCTGAACAGTAGTCGTTGCTGACGTTGTCGTCGGTCTATCCTCCATGACGTGAGTTTCACACTGATAAAGAGATATTCAAATCTAAACAGAAACTAATTACTCACACATGAGGCAGTTGCTACAAGGCTATCTTCCATTAAAATACAAAGTTGCAACTTGTACGCATTTTAAAAAACCCATCACAGCAGTTGTTTAGATTATTTTGTATACTCACCAGTCATAAACACTATTCCTCAAAGGCGTTGAAGGTTATCTGTTTGCAAATATATCAAGTTTTAGTAATACAGTGGAATCTGTCAAATCCGGACTCTTTGTAAACCGGATTTGTCCATAATCCGGACTACTCTCTGAGTCCAGGCAAAACTGTTCTTAATTTATCATTAAAGCTTGCTTTATAGTCAGACAGACAGGCAGACAAAATAGTTCATTTTTGTGTCACGTGAATGTACATTGCAGCTAAAAAGGCAGCGCTAAAAACATAAAATATACAAACAACAGGCCAGATGGCCAATGAGACACACTAGACAATATGTACATAAAATGTGCATTAAAATATATGGTTAAAACATGAAAGGAGTATCACAGGTACGAGAGATGTGAAAAAAAGTCCTGACTTTCTCAATTACGGATTACGGACAACAATAACAGTGTAATCCTGAATGTCAGTGTCATGCGGTGGACAAGGGCCAAACCTACACCATTGTTCAGAACCTGGAGAATTTCCATAGACCACGTCATTTCAGAACCTTCAGAACCTGCACCGGGTTTCCATATGTGTGTGCCTGTCTTCACATAGCATGCTTACGTTCAAGTCACTGTATCATTGAAAGTCAAGAAGACTACATTTATTCTCTGTGTCTACCAGACGGAACGAGAGGGAATATCTATGAATGCAAGACGAATGGACAGTCAGACTGACTCACAACTTTGAATTGAGGGGTAATTATAATTGAGTATACACTGCTCAATAGCATGATGGTGGACGACAAAAATAGGCTTCAAACATTTTACTCAAGCGGAGAACTTGACTGAAGTCTTTGAATTCACGAGTCAACGCTTTGTTCAACTGTGTTGTAAGGGTGCATGAGTGTGAAAAAAAAAACACCGTAGAGAACACTACTTAAAGTACGAATAAACTTTGGGAGTTTTGTACACTTTTAACCCTTACATATGAAAGATCTGTGGTTAGTTTTCAGCGGAACACCAAATTCATTCTTGAAAAATTTGTGGTTAATTAATACCGAGCGATTAAAAGGTGCCATAAAGCCGTCTGCTTCATTCGCGCCCGCCAACGACACCACAGAGAGGTTACGTACCTCTGTCTCCAGCGCACTGCTGCGAACAGGAAGTGACGGTATGTGAGGAACGATTTTCAGTCAGGATTTTTTTATATCAACACCCACCTCGCTTCCAAGAGAGAAATTGTTATGTTACAAGCTATGTCATGCAAAAAGCCATTAGCCATCAATCAAATGCATAGTTTACTACCAATACAAAATAGTTTTGATTTTGTAACTCGGTGAAAACAAACCTCAATGGATTTATTCCCAGACTGTCGGATGTTCGCGAAAGGACGCCGCCATTTTTAAAAATCGTACGTCACGGCCAAAAGTCGAAAATAAATGAGATTATAGTTTGTTTTCATCAAGTCAGAAAATCAAAACTACTTTCAACTCGTAGTTGAATATGTATTTGAATTATGACCAAACGGATTTTGCATGACACAACATGTAACATAACGTTTTTTTTCCACGGAAGCACGGTTGGGGTCGAAGTGACAATATTATGCAATAAATGTCTGGCTACATTCACGTGGTTAACGTCCACTCACCACTATGAGATACTAGTCGATCGTGATGTGCGAGGCTTATCATCATTTTCATTATCACTAACGTCTGGCTCGAACAAATAAGGCCTAGCGATTGTTTCTTCATTGAAGATTGAATGGAAAGATTGTGGCTGTCTGAATTACTTCCGGACATGTCAGAGTTTGTTTTTTACTGAAATGCCAACCTACTGAATTAACCATACTGAAATCACTTGACATAGATGGTTTAACACCCGAGTAAATTGGGGAACAAAAGCCAGACCTAGCCAACAGGTAAGCGTTATGACAACAAGCAATTTTGACAGAATCTTCTATGAAAACAAGTTGTAACTCGGAAGCTATGCAAAGCAGGTGGCAAGATTAAATGAAAGTAGATTGTGAAAACATAGAGCTTTAATTTTTCACAATTGTCACGATTTCAGGTTTAGACAAACTTGTAAGCAAGATAATTTACCCCCGGAAATGTACATGAATTCTACAGTGCCCCTCATATCAATACCTCTTATTACGTCCCGGAGACGCGTCCCTCTGATTCGTTAATATTTCGTTCGCGGGAGAGAATTCTGCAGTGTTGTCAAAAAGGTCGAGTTAAGTTAATTAAGGGTCGAAATGAGTAGTTGTAATGACGGAGTTTGATTTATAACGATGTCATTAAATGATTTATGCATTTGTACCCCCTCTCTCCCCACTCCACCCCCACCCCTAGAGTATATGTGATCTTTGCATAGTGAATCAAACTATGTCATTCTGCCAGATGAGACACACCTTTCACCACTAGGTATATGTATTTATTAGACATAATATTACACTCCCCGTCTCTGCTTCAGAGTTTGTGGTGTTATATCGCTCCTGCTGTTATCATTATTAGTCGGATATAATAAATTCTGGTTCAGACAAGCCGGTGACAGAAACATGGCAGCTGACAACATGAAGGACTGTAGAATACTTTGTGGATTATTGAAACTTCCCAATATATGTAACAGAAATATTTATATACACACATATTCACATCTACACATATAGACGCACACACAAAGATACACGTACTGTCTCACACAGAGAGACACATACACACGAACACACGCACCTGAATCCATAATTGCCTATAAAAGGTCTGGTCCTGTGACATAATACCCTGAGCGTTAAAGCGTTATCTCCCTGGCACAAGTCAATATTTCACAGTCTATTTATAGACGCAGCACAGACCCACCTTTTGAACTTTCGTCACTATTGCGTCGTATGAAATGCACCTCACAATTCCACAGTAAATCATGTCTACTATATATATCACAAGTGGATCCAGGAAGGGGGGTGCAGGCGTGCACTACCCCCTCCCCCAAACAACCCCCTGTTTTGTCCAGATAGTGTATTAATTCACCATTGAATAATTTAGTGTGCACCCCCACTTTCTCAAGAGAGTGCATCCCCAACCCACCCCACCACCACCACCGCCCTCTTTCTCAAAAACCTGTATCCACCCCCTGTATACTGAATACTGATACAAACACTTGGGTAATCATCGTTGATTTATCGAATCTGTAAGTCCACCTAATCTCTGCGGACGAGGGTAGACGCCATTCACCCGTGTGTTTCACAACAAACGTGCAGGGCCTTCCTTGCATCGATATGGTAGCCTATGGCATCTCTAGATGGTGTTGCATATATGTATGGAATATGGTGACGTAAAATTATGACATTACTAACTTAGTTGATGTAATTAACTGCAGCAAGACCTCAGCAGAAATTCTACCTGTCTCACTTGTGTTCGGTACCCGGACAACAAGATCGAACGGGAATCCCCTGTACACCTGATCACGTGGTGCGTTTCCTGATCTTGGTGATCTGTCACACAATGAAACATTCGTCACCACTCGTCCCTTTCCGTAGACTGGTCCCCCGGTTTTCCAAGTAAATACCTTTGGACTCGTCTGTTGTAAGAAGCGTAATCCATTACAATAGTGACAATACGTCTACTTTCACAATGAATGGATACAGAGGGCAATTCTTGTAACACAAATAGAACGGTTTAAAGCAGGTGCAGTTCCAGTGTTCAGATAACACGTTCGAATCACAATATGACATGTTGTTCACAGTTTCAATAAATTATATAATAGATATTTCTTTGGTTTCTTTTCATTATTGTATGAAATATATGTAAAAAAACCCAACCGAAATAGAAATAATACTTTCAAATTTAAGGGTACGGTAGTTGGCCATAAGTGAGGCATCATTAGCGAAATTTGCATAGACTTAGATATCGTTATCTAATACACAGACACTTAAATGTTAGACATTCGTAATTTGAAATACAGAGTTTGCATAGACTGAATAAATATAGATTCACTCTTCAATACTCGCTTCTATCTATTACCTTTTTATATGTTATGACAGTAGATTGCCGATTTAACTGTTTATATAATTTCATTTGTCTATTTCACCACACATTCCTCTTACCGAGTCACTTTCTCAGTTCACTATACTCGGTAAGAGGAACGTGTGGTGAAATAGACAAATGATGGAATATCAACAAACCCCTACTTGTGTTAAAGGTACCACAACATCTAAGTAATAATGGTTTGCAGCCCACAAGATCCAGGCCAAAAGCACTAATGTGCTCAGCCCACCTAAGACCATGAACCAGGAATCAAAATTCCTTCCCTCACCAGCCATTTAAAAAATGGAAATGTAATACTTACGCTAATGCTGTTATTAGTTAGGATGCATTACAGATAGGGCACAAGGGCTTCGCGGATGGCCAGAGAAAACTTACACAGGCCTGCATAGGAGAGGTGGACACCGTCCCAACAATACATATTAGGACTACTGGGTGTAATGTCCGGGTGTTTCTCGACTACACCCCCCATCTCAAGCACTCTGTTAGAGATCCTCCTGTTGAGCTTCTTTTTTGACATTTCCACCGCGTAGAAGCAGCGTGCCCTGTGCCAATACCTCCTCGGCAGCATGTTAGACCACACGATTGTGGTCTTTGGCATCAATAATTTGACGCGCAACAGATCAGCATGGATGTCAAGGTAGAGCTGGCTGGCCTTTACCGATCCCAGGTTGTTCGATCCAAGGTGGAATAGGATGGCCCTGGGATGCTGCGCAGACTTAAGTTGTTGCTCTACGATGGGAACAAGTTCCTCCCACTTCATTCCTCCCCTGGCCAGCCACAAACAGGATGTCCACCCCTCCCTTGAGACAAACTGCTGAACCCTCGCCAGCTAGCTTG